ACTGTATCCAGCTTCCCTTTTCTCCACATCCTCACCAACATTTTACTTTTTTGTCTTTTTGATAATAGCCAATCTGAGCAATGTAAGGTGATCTCTCATTGTAATTTTGATTTTCATTTCCCTGATGATTAATGATGTTGAGCATCTTTTCATATGTCTATTGACCATCTGTATGTTTTCAAGTCCTCTGCCAATTTTTAATTAGGTTGGTTTTTATATTAAGTTGTATAACTTCTTTATATATTTTGGATATTAACTTCTTAGTGGATGTATGATTTGCAAATATCTTCTCCCATTTAATATGTAGTCTTTTCATTTTGTTGATAGTCTCCTTTGCTGTGCAGAAGCTTTTTAGTTAGATGTAATTTCATTTGTTCATTTTAGTTTTTGTTGCCTTTTACTGAGGAGATTTGTCCAAAGAATCATTGCTAAGCCTGATGACAAATAGCTTACTGCCTATGTTTTCTTCTAGAAGTTTTATGTTTTCAGGTCTTCCACTCAGTTCTTTAATGCATTTTGAGTTTATTTTTGTATATTGTATGAGATAGTGATCCAGTTTGGTTTTTTGCATGTAGCAGTCCAGTTTTCCAATCACCATTTATTGAAGAGACTGCCTTTCCCCCATTGCATATTCTTACCTCCTTTTGTCATAGATTGACTATATATCCATAGGCTTATTTCTGAACCCCCTATTCTATTCTATTAAAATATGTGTCTATTTTCATGCCAGTACCATGCCATTTTGATTACTATAGCTTTGTAGTATAGTTTGAAATCAGGGAGCATGATACCTCCAGCTTTGTTCCACCTTCTCAACATTGCTTAGCTATTCAGGGTATTTTGGTGGTTCCATACAAATTTTATAATGTTTTGTTCTATGAAAATGCCATTGTGGTTTTGATGGGGATTGCATTGAATCTGTAGATTGTTTTTGGGTAATATGGACATTTTAAAAATGTTAATTCTCCCAATCCATGAGCACACTATATTTTTCCATTTGTTTGTGTTGTCTTCAATTTCTTTAATCAATGTCATAAACCTCCCTTGCTTGGTTAAATTTACTCCTAGGTATTTTATTGTTTTTGTGCAACTGTGAATGAAATTTTTTTCTTAATTTCTCTGTTAGTTCATTATTACTGTATAGAAATGCAACTGATTTCTGTATATTAATTTTGTATCCTGCAACTTTACTAAATTTATTAGTTCTAGTAGTTTTTTAGTGGAGTCTTTATGGTTTTCTATATATAGATTATATCTGCAAATTATGACAGTTTTATTTATTTTCTAATTGGTATGCATTTTATTTCTTTTATGTTCTGGCTAGGACCTGTAATACTATGTTGAATAAAAATTATGAGAGTGGACGTCCTTTTCTTCTTCATGATCTTAGAGAAAAAGCTTTCAGGTTTTCACCTTTGAGTATGTTAGCTGTGGGCTTGTCATATATAGTCTTTATTATGTTGAGGAACACTTCTATACTCTGCTGAGTTTTTATCATAAATGGATGTTGAATGTTGTCAAATGCTTTCCTTTGTTTTGTTATTGTGGTGTATCATGTTCACTGATTTGTGGATCTACTTGATCATGGTGTATAAACCTTTTATTTAACATATTGTTGAATTTGGTTTGCTAATATTTTGTTGAGGATTTTGGCATGTATGTTCATCAGGGATCTTGTGCTGTAATATGTGTGTGTGTGTGTGTGTGTGTGTGTGTGTGTGTGTGTGTGGTGTCTTTATCTGGTTGTAGTAGCAGGGTAATTCTAGCCTCATAAAGTGAGTTTAGAAATGTTCCCTCTTCAATTTTTTTAAAAATAATTTGGGAAGGATAGGTCCTAACTCTTCTTTAAATGTTTGGTAGAATTCACTCATGAAACCATCTGGTCTTGGACTTTTCTTGTCACTTTTCTGATTTGTCTTTGAATCCCTTATAGTATATATGCTATTACTTTGCCCCACTTATGAAAAGTAGGGTTCAGGAAATTTGGATATATGTTAGGGGGTGGATACAGAGGCATTGGACTATATCTGTATATACTCTAAGGTCCTGGCTGGGTATCAAGTACATTCAGCACTCCAACCCTATAGTTGGCACTTCTCAAAACCCACATGAGGTGGCTTTATAAAAGAAAAGGTATTCTGGAAGTAATACTGCTTGGGGGAATTTGGAGGAGTCAATTTCAGTTTGGTGGTATGGGAATTACTTCCAGCTAAACTATAGAGATATTTTCTCTGTATAGGAGAGGTCAAGACTAAGGAGGTACAAACTGGAAGTCACATTGAGAATCTTCAATGGGAGGGGGTCATCTTTTTATTCAGTAAGCATCTATCACATGCCTAAACCAGGCACTGGGCTGGGAAGGAATAAAATCACAACTTGGTCAAAATTAAGTCAGTCTAGTTTGTATCTATCAAATCAAAAACTAGATACAGAAATGGAAAAATATTAACCATTAATCTCTGTCTCCTGCTTCTGTATCCTTGACACTACAACTTTTGCTTTGATTTCCTTCTTTGACAATTTAGGTAAAAATTAGAATGGCTGATTAAAATGTGCCATGTTGGAAAGGGCAAGAGGAATTAGAAGGTAATTTTCCTTTATTCCTTTAAAAATCTGAGATTAAATCAACTGCTGCTTCTTCTCACCTATAGAACACAAAGTGCTTATGGAGCTACAGAAAGTATTTGCTGTTTGGAATGATTGTTTCAGAGATTTGGTTATAACCAGCTTATATGATGACTAAATTAAATAACATGTGAAAGCTTATAGCAAAGTCAGGATAGTGGGGTTTTTTCTTTCCTGTTTTTTTCTACCCACAAAAAAGAGATTACTAAGCAAATTAATAAGGAAAACAAAGTGTTCTTTTATTTAATAGCAGAGGTGTTTAGCAGCAGGCCTCTATTTGCACAATGAAGTTGCTAATTATAAATGAGTCCCATGTAGTATTTAAGGAATTTACAAGGCTCTTAGAAGCCTTAGAGTTCTGTGCTCCTTCCACTTACAGCATTGTGGCTGCAATTCTCAAAGAGAAAGAAGAGTATTGTTTTATAAAAGTCCTATTAGTGAGACTGTTCATTTACTTAAACCAACACTCTCTCATTTGCCCCACTCCCCCTCTCATTTAAAACCCTAAAGTCAGGATGGGAAGTCAGAGCAGGAGGGCATGGCATACAAGGCCTTTGTCATGTACACTGTGATCCAGCTATAGCAGACTTCTTGTTATCCCTCAAGCAAGCAGTGCCCTTGACCTGTGCTGCATCTTCAACTGGCGAGTTCCTGCTCATCTGCTGTGACACAGCTCACAAGCCTCATTATCTTCTCTGAGCCACCTTTTCCAATACCTGTAGGTACTTTGCCCCTCACTTTACTGAATTCCAATCATAGTTTGCTCATATCTATTAGAACACTGATCACATTATATGGCACTCATGTGTTCCTACAGCCCTCTCCCCCACTGTACTGTAAACTCCTAGACAACAGGGACTGAAATGGACTCATCTTTTAACCCTCCCACCTATCCCTAAATGCCTAGCATAGTTTCTGGCCCAGTAGGTATTCAGTAAGTATTTGGCAAAGTTACTAGGATCAGGAAAGTAAATGGCAGTATGGTCTAAACGGGAAAAAAAAAGATCAAAATGGTGTAAAGAAAAGAAAAGAAAGAGATTAGGATAAAGGGGTCAGTAAAAGACTGGGAGTAGAAAAACCCTGGAAAGAAACAAGTAGGAAGGAGAGGAGTAAAGTAAAATACACATGCTGGGAAGAAAATAACATTGAGAAAGGGAACAATGTGAGGTGTGTGAAATTAAGGTAATGCAAGTAGTTGTCACTTTTCATCAAACACTCGGGCATTTCTGAAGCTCCTCTATCTTCACTTTTCCTTAGAAACAAAAAGGGATGGAAAGAAGAAAAGGCCAGACTACAGACAGAGGCAGCAAACACTGTAGACTATGCACTGTCACTGCCTTTGGCTTCCCCTTCATCAGCCTCTCTCTTTTGATCTAGATCTGAGCTCTGTTTTTTCTACATGAAGGTCCATGTGTACACAAATTATATAGTTAGGAACAAATGGGCACATATATGCATGTTTGTTTCCCTTTTTTCTTTAATTCTAAAAAAAATTACAAAAGGCAGTGTCATAGCAAGACTCTGGCTCTTCCTGCCTTTGCTGTATCAGAGGGAAATATTTGCATAGCTCCCTGAGGAGGTGTTGGCCCCTGCCTACAGCCATGAGAGAGTAGAAAACTCTGGGGTGCTCCCTAGCTTGCTGAACACATTTACAGTGCATGAAGGGTGAGATACTGTTGTAACAATGCATGTAAACATGCCATAGTATTTGTTGTGTCTTTAAGATGAAATGATTTTCAGACTCATATAGCTCTCTTCCTCACAGGGGATGTGCCACTTGATGGTTGAAGCCTTTTGGAGTTATTTCTCGGGTAACCAAAAAGTGCCTCGCACCTATACAAAGCAGCACAGTACAGCCCTGGATTAAAGTCAGGAGCCGAGGTGGCTAGTGTGGGCTCTGCTACTCAGTCTGAGGCTGAGTTTTATCATCTGTCAAATGGGAGTAATCTCACCTATCTACTTGTTAGGGTTACTGTGAGGATCAAATCCCATGATTATATAAGATCCTACATGTGACCAATATTTCACAGTTTTCCAGTGATTCTTAGCACCATTCTTTCATCTGATCCTCTCAACAACCCTGCCAAATATTTTGATTTTCATTTTACAGATGAAGAGACTAAAACTCAAAGATAAGTGACTTGGCCAAAGCCACATACCTAGTAAACCAGGATGATGCAAGTTTTCTGTTTTCAAACTCATCTTCAATTATCCTTAGATACAAACCTGGCTACTCAGTGCTATTGGCTTCCTAGCCCCTGTTTCTTAACTTCCCTCATGGTTCCTCCTCCCTAAAGCCTCTGAAGATGATCTGTGTAATGAATTAATTAGCTTTTGTTTTATCCCCCCTTCTCCCTACTTTTTCTGACTCCTAGAAGAAAACACCAGCAGCCCCAACAAAGAAAACCAGCACCACCTTCAACATCGTGGGAACCACCTATCCCATCAACCTGGCCAAGGACACTGAGTTCTCTACCATCTCCAAGGGCGCTGCTCCCAGTGCCTCCTCAACCCCGACAATTATTGCTTCACCCAAGACCACCTACGTGCAGGACATCCCAACTGAGACCAAGACCTACAACAGTGTCAGCAAGGTTGACAAAATTTCCCGCATCATCTTTCCTGTGCTCTTTGCCATTTTTAATCTAGTCTATTGGGCCACCTATGTCAACAGGGAGTCAGCTATCAAGGGCATGATCCGCAAACAATAGATAGTGGTGATGCAGCAACCAGAGCATTGTATACCCTAGGAAGCATCCAGGCACCCAAACCCCAGGGCTCCCCTTTCTGTGTTTCAGGATTCTTCTTTTTAACTCTCTACCAAGCTGTGGCTCTCAATTCATATTTATGAGTCTCAATGAAAAAATAGTAACAGAAAAATTACTTGCCCCTTTGACATTGCTGAGTATACCCTCATCAGAGCCAAACACTGCCATTTGTTCAGTTGCTCACCTTAGTCTGCCAGTCTCCCCCAGCTGAGGGCACTACATGTATTTTATTGCACTCTGCCCACTGCAGAAAGAACAGGAGACTCTATTACCTGTAGTGGGAGCCTTGGCTATTTGAGTGGTCCAGAGCAAAGAAGATTGTTGACTGGTCCAGATCATATGATTCTAACTCCTGAGGGAGCCAGTCTATCCCATGTGGTCCTGGTCTGCCACCTCCCTTGCCTACACCATGGCCCACTAGGTATAAGTACTGATAGCAAAGGCAGGAGCCAGTGCTAACCTCTAAACATGGCTCCAGCCTTTTTATTGGCTTGGAGGTTAGTGGGGACAGTTGAGGCTTACCACTGTTAATGATAGATAGCCAAAACAGAATCAACTAGGCCAGCCTGGTCTAAAGATGGCTGATGCCCTGCCAGTTTCAGCCCCTCAGGAAAATAGTACCCTCTTTGGTATATTTCTCCTTTGGGAAATTTCTCTTAAGTTCTTTGACCCTCCCCCACCCCTTTGTAGCCAGCTGGACACTGCTTATTTTGGACTCATTACTGCCTGCAAACTCTTCATGAAAAGGATCAAGTATTTTTGTAATTTATACTAAAAAGGGACAAACAGAAACAAAAAGATCTAGATCAAATGCCTATATATATATATTTTTTAATTAGAGAGGAAAGTCATCTCCCTGCCAAGGCAACTAGTCAAATATTGGATGGGGTAAGAGATTTGGGCTGGGTGGTGGAAGCTTGAAGTCTGGCTCAAAAGAGAAAGCCACTGGCAGGTGAAAGTCAAATTCTTCCTTCCATGCCCTCCACACCCCAAATGCTAACCCAGGCCTAAGAACTTTGCTCTCACCTTGTCAGCAAACTCTGGTTCTCTATTGATGCCAATTCTTAGAGGGGTGAATTGAAGTCTACTTGGTTTTTGAGTCAAGTAAATTATTATTACCAGGTTGATAATATATTATTTAGGGGCCATTTGATCTCATTTGTTCTTAATGTATTATAATTGTAAAATTTTTATAAGGTAGATACACTGAGTCTCAGATGTTTGAATGACTTGCCTAGGCTCCTTATATGTGTCTGTAATAGAGAACTATCATGAGTCCCTTTCCAAAGGCCAAAATGAAGACAAGACTGAGAAGCAAGGTACATTTGACCTCTGAATCAGCACAATCTCAACAGTCCTACTGAGTCCTGAATGCAGTTTAATTGGACACCAAAAAGATTTGTAGGAAGAAGTCACAATGTATCACCCAAGGAAACCACTTCTAATAGTCATGGCTCAATGGAATGATATTAAGATGGTAGCCCCAGCCACTAGTCCAGAATATCCTAGAAGCCCAAAGTAAAGCCACAGATGGCACCAAAAGCAGACTGTCCCTTCCCACTCCCTAAATAAAGCTCCTAAGGGATCTAACAGCCACTGGTTGCCTTTGCACCCATCTTTCCCCCATCCCCTGCTTCCTTGCCATTGCTGGGATAATGCATGCCAGTCCCATTATTCCTAAGAGTGTGTCTATAGGCAAATTCATGACTAGAAGGGTATAGTGTTGTGGATATGTGGGGACGGCGGGGTGGGGGGGGGGGGGGGGGGGGGGGGGGGGGGGGGGGAAGGGCTGTTAATGATTGTCTTAAGGAGTTTAAAATGAAAGCCTGACCTTTGCCTTTCTGTAGAAATTGTGTGTCCAAATGCTTTGGTGCAATGTTTAGCGGCTGTTTATTAAACTTCTGAATTGTATTCAGACTGGAGAACATTTTTTGGTTACTCTTTGCCTACCATAGGCAGTACTTTGTTGTCTTTCACTACCACTCTCAAGTAACCCTTACTTTCCACTTCTTACCACCATTGAAATAAGCTGGAAAAAAAGGGTATCCCCTGAGAAGAGACCTATTACAGTAATCAAAACTGGACCCCATGTGAAAACATAGCTTTGATTGACTCTGGGGTCTCATTACCCAATAAGACAGAGAAGGAAACACCTGCACTGCTTCCTCTGCTAAATTCACCCAATCCTAGGAAATAGCTAATTCTTATTGCAATTCTAAAGACTTTCTCTTTCCCGTTGGTTACAATTTTTCTTAGACGATAGTTCCCTTAGGTAATAGTTATTAGGCAGAGGGAGAGTGGGTGTCTGGTTGGTTGATGCATGTGTTGGGAAATAGATGGGGACCCTTATTTCTTACAGAGTTAGGAAAAATATGGGAAATAATCTCATGAGATCTTGAGGAAATCACCTGGCTCCTAGATGATGGGAGAATTCTCTTTGGGAGAGCATTTCAAATAATATAAAAGTTTTTATTGTCTGAAATAAAATGAGGGACTTGGCCAATCTGACCCTCAGTGCATATTCCAGCCCTGTGGTCATCTGATGATGCCCTGCTGCTGCAACAGTCTCACAATCCCTTCACCAGTTCAACCATATCCCCAGAACAACCAGATGGCCGTGTCTTTGGCAAAATTGCATACCAATATTTAAGTGTTGTTTCCTTGAGAACCCTCTGAAACCACTTTGCCTCTGAAATGCCTCTGCTGTCTTGGGGCACCCGGGTGGCCCAGTCGGTTAAGCGTCCGACTTTGGCTCAGGTCATGATCTCCCAGTCCGTGGGTTCAAGCCCTGCATCGGGCTCTGTGCTGACACCTAAGAGCCTGGAGCCTGTTTCAGATTCTGTGTCTCCTTCTCTGACCCTCCCTTGCTCATGCTCTCTGTCTCAAAAATAAATAAATGTTAAAAAAAATTTTTTTTAAAAAGAAATGCCTCTGCCCCCCTCCAGTCTTAAGGAAAAGCTCAGTCTGTCCCCATCAGCACTTCTGTTGCTGAACTTCCTAGAGTTTGAAACCCTTATCCCAAATTGGGACCTGTATTTCTGGACTCAAATATTTTGTGATATTTAGAATATCAGTTCTAGATGCTGCTGTAAGAATGCCTAACACAAAATAGGCACTCAATAAGCATGAATAAATGAATGCTAATCTAGATGAGAGCTACATGAAGGAGGGATTATTTAGGGTGGTGTTGGAAAGGAAACTAAACCATGATCAGTGGAGATTAATAGAAACAAAAGCAATGTGCAAACTTCTAAAACAACTCTAAGAGCATCCAGGTACTATTAAGTATGCTCTGTTTTAAATAATTTTAAATATTTTTTCTACTTAAATAATTGTTTGCTTCTATGTACTTTTAAATCTGGAGCATTCAATTAATGGCCTATTAGTTCCTAGTGTTAAAGTACTGAGGGAAGGAGAGCAAGGCATTCCTGGGCACTAGGAACCTCTGAAAATCTCAAGCATAGCTCACTGGCCCATCTAGGATGCATTTGTATTATGACACCTTTCAGAGGGCTTCCCAGTCTGAGCTTCGGTAGGAGACCCTCTGAAACTCTGAATCCTTCCAATAAGTCTAGCAGAACATGGAATGAATATGAAGTGAAGTGGAAAAGGAAGAACACAATTAGGGGAAATTCTGTCAAAGAAACCCTAGAATTGGAGGCAGGGATCTTTCTTCATTCAATTTCAACAGCTTTGAATTACACAGACTCTCTTCTGCCTAGAAATGTTAATCATGTGATCATCCACTAGAGTGAGGCTAAAGGTACCTGCCCTTATTGACTGGGAAGGCTTCCCTCTGAGGCCTCCTACCCTTTCCCATCAGAGAGAAATCTGGATCTGTTTTGCCTTGCTTCTTCTGGAGCTCCAACAATTTGATATCATGGGAAAATACTGAGAATGAACACCTGGATTTTAGCCAGGGTTTAATCTCATCACAGATGTTAAGTGATGGTTCTGGGTAAGTCCCTCCCCTGAACTCAGATTTAGTTTCCCAATTAGTAAATAGAGAGCTGATCAGAGCCAAGACATTATAGTATGCTTTCCAGCAGCTGCCCTAGTAGTCCACTCTACCTCTGAGGGTCACCACATCCTTGGACCCCCATACCAGCCCACCTAAAGAGCGCAACCCCTATCTTTGATTGCCTGACATACAACTCACATGGATTGGCAGCTTCAAAAGAATTTGGTTAAATACCAAGACAGCAAGGTGGTTAAACCTGGGAATTCAAGGGCCAAACTCATATCTGGTAGTGACTTCCTCAAGCCCCACACCATATCCTTGGCCTGAGCTTGATGTGGCAGGGTCTTGTGTAATGGTGTGTAGGAGCTCAGCTCCTGTCCCATCATGAGAAAATTTGGGTCCTACAGTGAGAATATTAAAGTGGTGCTGGTGTAAGACAGGGATCCCCCAGGTAAGCCAAGAGCACATACCTCCCCCCTTTGTTTTTCCTCCAAAGGTTCAGCTTTGGGTAGAACAGAAACCATCCGAATGAACTCCCTAAACTTTTTGTGACCAAATCAACAGAAATCATGGGATCTTCACATGCCATCACTCCCTTCCCTTCTGTCACAGGCTAAAAGTTGGCATCCCTTCTGTCTGAGACCAGTCCCTCCTTTGTTCTTCATCTCTGCTCCTCTCTTCTAAAATAATTCTACTTCTATTATCTGCTTTCAGTGAGCTACTCCTACTGAGTCACCACTACCCTGGTTACTAAAACCTAAAGGCATTTTTTTCATTTATCTTACTTGAACCTATCAGCAGTATTTGATACTGTTAACAATAACTTTATGTTTCGGTTTTTATGACACCATAGTTTCCTGATACCCCTACTTTTTCCCCCTGCTACCTTTCGGTTTGTCATGATTTTTCTGTTCAACTTCTCTCATCTCTTAAGTGCTGCGTTTCCCTAAGGTGTTTTTGTTCTTATCACTTCACACACTCCCCCTGAATGATCTCATCTGTCATCTGTCCTAGTAGCTTCAGTGACTGCATATTTCAATTATCTTTTGTTATGTAACAAACTACTCCCAAATTTAATAGCATAGAACAACTGTTTATTATTCCCCTGGGTCAGGAATGTGGACAGCGTTCATCAAAGATGGCTTATCTCTGCTCCACAATGCCCAGGACCTCAGAAAGGAAGACTCAAATAAGCAGGGATGACTTAATTGACTGGAATATCTGGAGATGGAGAATCTACTTCCAAGCTCCACGTGGCAGGGGATTCTGTGGTGAGATATAGGCATATTAGTTGCCCAGCTCTAGTCCTGTCCATCAGAGAAAGTGTTGGGTTCTAAACTGAGAAGATGAGGGAGGTTCTGTTTGCTAAGCCAGGGGGTAGAGTCCTTAAATCATATGTCTGGCAGCTGGGCTGTGATGGTTGAAGGACAGCTTCAACTTAGATTATCGACTGGAGCATCTATACATGGCTTTTCATTATGGCTTCTCACAGCATGGAAGCTGGGTCCTGAAAAGGAGCATTTCCAAAAGGAGCCTCTTGGAAAACAAATGTTCTGAGAGATACTGTTGGAGGCTGCATGGCTTTTACTGTCCTAACCTGAGAAGTAGCTACATTTTGTTGGTTACAATAGAGTTACTAAGGCCAGCCCAGATTCAAGAGGAGGGACATAGACTTCACCTATTAATGGCAGGAGTGCCTAAGAATTTGCAGACATGTATAAAAACTGCCACACCTCCTATATTCTGATAATTGGCAAATCAACATCTCTAGTCTAGTTCTTTCATGTCAAATTTAATATATTCATAGCAAAACTCTTGACTCTCCAACCCATGCAATTCTTCCCTTTGTCATTCCTTTATCAATTAATAGAAGCAGCATTTTCCCAGATGCCCAAGGCAAAAACTTAGAAAGAATTCCTGATACCTCTCCCTCATATCCATACTCAACACATCTGACAATCTTGTGCACTCAACCTCTAATTTAAATTTCATATCAGACCACATCCTCCTCACTTCCATTACTAGCACTCATGATATATATCTAGAATGAAATTGCTATGTCTGATGTCAAAGAGGTTACTGCCTGTGTTCTCCTCTAGGATTTCAATGGTTTCTGGCCTCAGATTTAGGCATTTCATCCATTTTGAATTTATTTTTGTTTATAGTGTAAGAATGGTTCAGTTTCATTCTTTTGCATGTTGTGTCCAGTTTTCCTACCACCATTTTTTAAGAGACTGTTTTTTTCCATTGGATATTCTTTCCTGGTTTGTCAAAGATTAATTGACCATATAGTTATGGGTATATTTCTGAGTTTTCTATTCTGTTCCACTGATGTATGTGTCTATTTTTGTGACAGTACCATACTGTTTTGATCACTACAGCTTTGTAATGTAATTTGAAGTCTGGAATTGAGATGCCTCTGGCTTTGGTTTTATTTTTCAAGGTTGCTTTGTCTATTTGTGGTCTTCTGTGGTTCCATACAGTTTTTAAGATTTTTTGTTCTAGCTCTGGGGAAAATGCTGTTGGTAGTTTGATAAAGATGGCATAAAATGTGTATATTGCTTTGGGTATTATAGACATTTTAACAATATTCTTCCAATCTGTGAGCATAGAATTTCCATTTCTTTGTGTCATTGCCAATTTCTTTCATCACTGGTTTGGA